GTCTTGACTACGAATCATTAACTATAAACAAACAATCAAGTCAGATATGATTATACATATGATTTTTATACTTTATATCTAAATTCCCACAAGCATATTACAGCTAGTAACTTGGTTAAGGTTTTAGGTAGTAAACTTTCCTTTTGTAGAGTGTAGACAGGAAACAAAACTTTCCTTTTGTAGAATGTGAATCTGCCTTTAAAACATGTGACTCCAGAGGTGCAGTGAGGTACATGACATGGCCAGCTGAAGAAGGCAGAATGTTCTCTAGTCTCTTTTACATCCTATTACAATCAACGAAAGCATCAGACATGGTGAAATGCTCATTTTGCAGATGTGACGTATGCATGTTTAATTTCTGAATCAAACAAAGGAAAAATTCCTGGGCATTTTATGTGCATTTTTCTTAATATGATCATAGAATCAGAGTTAGCCATTTAATCCCAAACGAGACATGACCTCACTGGGGTTTGTTCCTTGACTGAATCTCAGACTTCCACACTAGGACAGCGTCGATTGTGCTGCCTGAACGCTCCTGTTACCTCACTGATGTCAGGGATATTTTGGGGGGCGGGGGAGGCCTCTAGCAAATGTTTTCAGACCAAGTATCTGTGGGAATGTCACTGTTTTTGTCACAAAGGCCATTTAGTGGTCAATCCGGAAACCAAGAGCGGAATAAGTTACCTTGTTAAAATTCTTAAATCAACAAACGTTTTTGTTATGTTTGGTGGGTTTCATTGGAAATTATAGGGAAGTGGGAAGACCTGTCGGGAGCATCTGGAACACTTTTTTGAAATACGCATATGCTATTAGGTTCTTGAGGAAATGTTGCCAAGTATGGGCACTCCATGTGGCCCCACGTAACATGTTTTTCAACTTCCCTACAGTGACTACTTCAGATGTTTTCCGTTCTCTTTAAATCTCCCATCTTGTCACTTCTATCCACCATCCCCTTATTTAACCAGGAAATAAATCACAAACATCTTGTCCCCCAATGTGTAGACTTGATGGCAGCTGTGCCCATTTTTGGAATCATCCGTGCTCTTCCCCATCCCTCCACTATGCACCCCCTCCTTTCCCTTCCCCACTCCCTCCCTGATGGGCTTCTGAGTATCGTGAATTCAGATCCTCAAGTAACTCTTGAATCATTCCCTTTACTTTATTCCCCAAGGTTATAGAATACCGTTGTTACTGCCCTCCCTCTTTGTTGTCTGGCCAACTCTTTCTCACCACCACCGCCAGAATACAGTCCAGCGAATGCCCATCAGATTGTCTTACTCCCTTCATCAAAGCCCGTTAATGCTGCCTTAGAATAATCTAAATTCTTTAACCTGATTTACCAGGTGCTGCTCATCACCCCAGCTCTATCTCATACTTCTCCCCATCCGAGATCCCACGATCAAGCCAAATAAACACTGTTATTTTTCCTGCTAACTCCTCTTCGGTGGTAACACAGTTTGTGTCAACCAGTTGCATTCAGTATGAATAAAGTGAAGGTGTAAATTACACCCTTGGGGCAATGTGACTCACAAGTTAACTCCTGCAGAATGGATTCACTGAAGAACAGAAACAAGCGTATCCATGGCTTTGAACAAAGTCGGAGCCTATCCAAGCGTGAAAAAGGCTAACCATGAAACCAGGTTAATTCATTAGTAGAGTTTTAAGTTTGAATGTAGGGTTTCTTAATGCATGGTAAGGACGTAATAAACACTTACTTAATTATATGGAAATATTTAAAACCTTAAATCATTTTTTTGCAGTATCCCTCTTAACAAGCCGGCAATTTAAAGTAAAACAAAACCAGAAAAACCACAATTTTAATTAAGGCTTAGTGGTATATAATAATTGTGTAGTGGTATACATAATTTAATGAGACTACCCTAATATATTAGCTTTGTAATTGATTTTCTCTTCAATTTGATTTTCAGCATTTAATTTTATTTCCAGTAGAGACACTAAAGACTAATTATTTTTTCTCACCCAAATATTAGAAGCTAGAAGCTTTCTTTGTGACATGGCATATACGGCCTCCTGATTCTTAGAAGCTTTGACATGGAATTCTGAGTGGAAGCTGGACTGATTCTGGGCTGGCCAGACACCTCAGCCATTATGAATGGAAGCATATCATATATTACAAGAAACATTCAGGAAAAACAACCGGGACATTGAGCAAAGAATAAAACATGGCCTTTCACACAGCACTTTTCTGCAGCAAGTTAGTACCAGCTCTCAGGGCCCAGTCATGCACACCTCTCACCCACTCCACACACTGAGACATCACACCTGTAACTTGAAATCTGCCACAGTTACAGTATTTGCACCACAGCATTTGGCAAACTTTATCAATCCATCCTATTTGTCCTCAGAGAACCCATTATTAAAATTTGCCATCCCACCACTGCCCATACCCAAGTTGAGGGATTGTCCCTGCGGTCCTTTTTAACACTGTTGTCATCCTTTTAGCTTCTGTCCCTACCCTTTTCACTCTCAAAAGCGACAAGTTCAATAATCACCATGTACATCAGGGATAATAGGAGGCTTTGGAAATTTTTCACTGGAAGAAGTGAAGGCCGAGTTAGGAGCTAAGAAGCAACTGTAAGCTTTTTTTGTCTGCAGAACTGGCTGTCGGAAGTAGTATGAGACTTGTTTTGCAGAGGGACAGCACCAGGACAGGAAAGTTTTACGAAAGCTGCGGGGAGACACGTTCTTATCTGCATTGACGGAAGGACTTCCTTATTCGTGGAGCTGAGTCATCATAAAATGGGAACAGAGCACGTGGTGGGTCAGTGAGGTCCTTGTCAATGAAAAGGCTCACTCAGAGCCTGAGAGCCCCTCGAGGGGCATGGAGGAGGGGCTCCGGCCATGGTTGTTTGTGTTAATGACCTTCTGAGGAGTCATAGTTTGAGTTGAATCCTCCCCTGACAGTACCGGACTCAGACATTTTGGCAATTGGCACAGGATGCTTGCTTGTTAATATGTGTGTTTGGGAGTTAGAGCAACAACCAGCCAGAAAAATAATTCCTGCAAATTCAGAAAGAAGAAAAGAAGACCCAAACAGAAACACTTATTAAGCCTCTTATAAGTTGTTCAATTTTAAAGTTAAATAATTCTCATTAATTTGACAGGAAGTCCAACTTACCAACTTAACTACTGATTTATTTCTGATTCTAGATTTTGAAATCTATTAGGATAATCTACTCCCCTTGAGCACAGTTTGGCCAGAGAAGAAAATAAATCGGCCAGTTTTAAAAAACTTCAGGATTCTAAGTGGTGGGAGAGGAACACACTGTTTAGCAATGAGCACGGCAGCCACTTCCTCTGTATCCTACAGTAGCCGGGCAGTGAGAAAAACAGGAAGACCTCAGGCCAGCAGAAATGGCACCTGTGAAGTTGTTTGAGTCTCTCTGAAGGCGCAGTTTCATCGGGCGCTGAGGCTGTAGGAAACAACTGAAATATTTCACTGGGTGCAGAAAATCAAGTTCGAATAAATAATTCTTTCCATTCCCTAAAGTCAGATGTTTGGTTCCTTTTTCACATCACATTACTGATCTGGGCAGTTTCGCTAGCATACAGCATAGTTTGTATGGTTTTTCTCCAAGACCATTTGCCTTTCATTTGCATGCCATTAATCTCACCCAACACTGGGTTGCGTATAAAAGTTATACAAGAACTGTATGTATATAATCTGCCCTTTCCTCCAGCCAAGCTTTCCGCCTTCTGTTTGACTTTTCACCACCCAGAAACCTGGAGTCTCATCCACCAGCTCATATGCGTCTCTCTTCAAATTCTACCAGTCAGGCTATTACTGACCAATGCGGAGATAGCAAATATTATTGCCTTGATACTTTCTAAGTGCTTTATAGATATTAATTCCTTTCCTTCTGTGGGGAGCTATATAAAATAGGTATTTTTAATATCTTTCTTTTACAGATGAGGGGATTAAGGCACAGTCTGGCTAAATAAAGGAGAGACAAGATTCTAATCGACGGAGTGTTTTCCATCTCGGCTCTTAATCACTGTGCTGTCTCTCACTTTAAAGATAAGATATTGAGCCAATCTGAATATGATTCTCTGAAAAATCAGTGTTTGTATTTATCCCTCCATTGAAATGTGCTTTATCCCTGCATATCTTGCTGAAGTGCAGCTTTCTTCTCATGAATATATATTTTCACAAGTTTTGCCATAGGCCGTATTAAGGTTGATGTTACAAACACTGCATTCTTTCATGCACACTTTACATATATGCATATGTTCTCCTTAAAGAATCCATATTTATTGCATTTTATGAAAGAAATCACACTTACATATTTTGTGACTCCATATTCTATTGCAGATTCCACTAACCAAGAATAAGACTCATTTACTTGGTTCTTTGCGTCAAGGGCAGTGGTTCTCAACTGGGGGTGACCTTGTCCCCCAGGGGACATTTGACTATGTCTGGACAAACTTTTGGCTTGTCATACTGAGGGTTGGGGTCATATAGATGTCTAGTGAGAAGAGTTTAGGGGTGTTGCTAAACACACTATAAGCATACAACATTCACCCACAACAAAGAATTATCTGGCCTAAAATGTCTATCAAGGCTGAGAAACCTAGGACTCAAATATCCTGTTCATATTAAAAGGATTCTGTTGAGGACAATTTATGCACCTTCTCCACAGTACTGTAAAAGTTATATAAGAACTGTATGTCTGTAATAGTAATCTATCCATCATCATTAATACATCAGACTGTCAGATTAAGTAGCCGCAATTTAAATGTCGTATTTTGTTTTCTCTTCTCAGAAGTTTGCATTCAGACTTGGATTCAGAGCCTAGTCTCAAAACAAACAGAACCCTTAAGGAAAAATGATTATAACAACAGGTCTCTTTTGTGTTGTGTTACTCACTCATTCATGCGTTCATTTTTTTCAGGAAAGAAGTATTCAGCATGAACTGTATACCAAACAATGTTCTACGTGAACAAGTAGTTTAGGAGCAGGTTAATATTCATTTGTAGATTAATGTTAGGATTATTTTGGTTGATGTTTATGGAAAAGTTATTCATATGGGTTGTATATATTCTATAGTTTATTTATATTGCTCTCTGCAATTGTAAAAACAATGTTTTATTTAAGATGAAATCAAGTGAAGTATTCTATATAATGTGGGGGGAAAGATAGGGGAGAAAAATACTGAAAGAATATAGTTAATTAAATGATACCCTTTTCACCCAAATAGTTGGTGGTTCATACGGTAATATACACAAAGCAGATACAGTTGTTGGCCCAATAACAGTATTCCGTGCTCTCCCCAGGATTTTGTAATGAAACCATGAGACCGAACAGGACACCTCCTTCAAGTCTCTCAACAGTACTTATTTTTAACAGAAATCACACTCAGGAGTGATTGCAGGACATTTACTTAATTAAAAAAATGATAAGTTGGTGATATCTTATGTGAAAAATCTCCCATATTAAAACAAAACAAAAAACTGTCTTCCTAGAAAATAAACCCCTCTTGAGCCCCATATTCCTTTCCAACAATCATCACATTTTTCTGTTCATTTGACAGCAGAAGCCCCTCCACATGGGATACATATCATCTTCCCTTCCTCTGCCCCTGCTCCCACTTGTTCCCAGTCTCATCAGTGAGGCATGTGACTGCACAACTCTACCAGGACATCTTTCCTTGGTCACCAGTGAGCTCACGTTGCCAAATCCAATGGCCAATTCTTAGTCCTTGTCCTCACCTACCATTCATCTCTGAAACAGGCGATCACCCCCTTTTCCTTGTCACTTTATATCACATCTCACAATTTTCCTTCTACTTCACACGATTCTCCTTCCCGCTCTCCTTTCCCCTTTCTCACCTCTCCTTTGTTGGATATCCTTATCTTCCCAACTTCATATTGGGTGGCAAATCCATGGGCATCCTTCTCTCTAACCATGCTCACTTCTGTGTGGTCTCATCTATGTTCATGGCTTTAATTGCCATATGTGCATGTAGTGATGACTTGCAATCATATACCTCCATTCCGGACCTCTCCCCTCAACTCCAGAGTAATACACTGACTACCTGACATCTTCCTTTGGGTATCAGAGAGCATAGTTAATGACTGCAAAACCTCAGCTACCCAATTTCCCACTTCTGCCTTCCTTCTCCCTCTGTTCCATCCCCCTAGTAAATGTTCCCTCTATTTCCTATAAATGTTCATTTTTTCATGACTAATGTATTCCAAATTAGAAGGCTTCCCAACAGTGACAAATGGACAGCAAGGAAGAACCTTCTTCCCTCCCTTATCCCAAACTTAGAAGATGCTAACAAACAAGCCAGAAAACCAAACCAGTTTCTCAGAAAAAGAATATTTAAGCTTTGTCCGTGGAACCACTACTGCAGTTGCCAGTGGTTTCCTCTAAGGGCACACACTTCTGTGGAATCGAAATGAGATGGTGTTGGGCAAGAGACTGTTTGCCTTGGGTGTAGGATTACAGTCAGACAGGGTGTGCGTTTGCCCAGAGAAATCTTTACAATTGATGGAGCACCCACACTGAAGATCACATGGGGAAGAAGTGGTACAAGTCCCGGAGGTGTTAGTAAGAGAAAAAAATGCAGCCTTCTGGGACAGGGAGAACTTTTATCCATTGTATGCTTTGAGGAGATCCTCTTTGTCAAATAAGTTCACAAAGGTTTGATCAGAAGACAGTGTTGTAGATGGGCAGGGGTGAAGGCTATTTCTTCTGGATTCTTGTTTTCGGAAAGCCACCACTGGCAGGACTTTCTGCAATGTGTAGGCATGGGAACCAGCTAGAGAAAGTGTTGATTCACGAGAGGGAAGCTGAGCGCTCAGTGGCCTTTGTGTGCAGTGAATGGGTCCGGAAAGGCAAAAAACGGTGAGATTCCCTGATGGGGTTTCTCATCTCCATGGCGGTAGGTGCTGACAGCCTCAGAGAGAACATGAAGGGGCAAAGAGGAAAGAGTCCAAGATGTCTAGCTGCAGTGCTCTTATAAGGTGAAAAGGACACGGGGTTTTGATCTGAACTTCATTATCTGTAACTAAGGTAAGACCATTTGTGGGTTACGAAGTGATCCAAGCCTCAACTAATCGCTAGCCTGCTCTCTTAAGCACATTCTTTTTCAGGCATCTACCAACTAAAATTGGGCTCAGGAGTCATCCTTTATTGCTGCCCGGACCATGGCTGGGAAGGCTTTCTTTATTTCATAGGCTCTCTGCGGAGTTCTGAAGCGAACAGATTAAGAATTCAAGTGCCATTTATAGATCAGTTCAGGGAAGCAACATTCAGAGAGCAAGAGATGAAAAGCATAAAGAGACTTAGCCAGCAGAGCATTACTTACTGACGTGGGACAATGTGGAAAAGGACGCGTCTTTAATTTCCTGTGGAAACAGTCATTCATACAAAGCCTCCGTGTCACCCCTTCCCTGTTCCAAAGCGACAAAATGGCATTGAGAGTTTGAAACTGTGGGATAAAATATGCTGTCATGGATCTGTAATTAATTACATCCTTACAACTAAAAATATGCACAGACTCGCTGGGAAAAAAAAAACTGCTAAAAGGTAACTTTAATAAATAAAGCGAGAGCCTCAAGCATTGAAATCTAAGTATAAAAGCACTGGGCTTTTTAATTTTCTTTTTTTTTTTTGTATTGCATTATTGTCTTTCAATTTGCAATCTGGACTGCTGCTGCGGAGTAAATAACATCTGTTACATTTGGGCCTTCAGGTTCCATTTCAGTGGTGGAAGAGCAGAGATTGTGATAATGTAGCTTGCTTACCTGGAAATTCCAAGGCTGCATAAATGTATGGCCATGGGTTTAACCATAAAAATGTCTTATTTATGAAACTCTTTAGGGTTTTCTTTTTAAAAGCCCTCCCCCACCCTTGCTTCATTTCCTGTGAGCTTTGAAATAATTCAGAGAACTCCGAGGGAGTTAGGGGCAAGATCCCCAGAGATTCTGAAAGCCCATAATTTTGAAAGTATTGCCCAAGCTGGCTACTTATTAGTAGTTCTGGCAATTTACAGCAGCCTTGACTTGCTTCTGACATGGTTTCCTGACCAGCAATATTCCACTTTCAGTTTTGAGACATCCACATTCCATCCCTGGGCCTTGTCTGTCTGAGGAAACCAATCGCTGCAGCCAGCGGTTCGGCTGAGGCCCAGGAAAATGTGTTGGGATGTGTTGACATGAGGGGTCATGAGGGTCAAGAAAAGAATCAGGGCCAGGGACATTCTTTTGTGTATACATAGTTTAATGAAGATGAATCAGTCATTTCACATTTTGGTCTTGTAACATCAAACCATCTGCCTCTGTCATTGTCCCAGTGGGTACTTCAGATCCCCCAAGGCAAAGCTCCTGTTTTATCCAAGTGATAAACAACAGGTGAAAACAACTGACATGTATGGAACACCTATGATATTATAATGCTATCTAATTTAATTCTCATAATTACCTTTTTTTAAGGGGATATGGATGAAAGAGGCAAAATAACTGGTCTCCATTCATATAGGTAAGTGATAGAGATGAGATTCAAACAGAAATTAGTGGGACTCCAAAAATCAAATCCAAATGACTAAGGTAAAGGCCCTATTTTGTTTATGCTACATAAATAATGTACCTGGAATGACAGAGTGTGGTAGGAACCTGATAAAGCCCTTCTGGGGCCCAGACCATAAAATCTTGAATTTGGTTGGCTTTCAAGAGATGGTATGTCCAATGTCACCATGGGACTTAGAGGCACCTGGACACAAGTGCAGCTGATCTAGAAACGTCTCCTCAACTGGGAAACTTCTCTGTCAGTCTTTATCCTGGGTTTTTCCTCATTGTTCTTTAAGAATATCCATGCTTCAGGCTGAGTTTTTTTAAGTTGAGGACATGTACAGATAAGCTAAAATAAAAGTCAATGCAATGAAGAAGGGCACAAATACTACCAAAATTTGGGTCAGTATGCCTTTTCTATTGACATGGCAATATGACTCATAATTGCTTTTTAAAAAATTAGAAGACCCAAGTGTTTTTTTGTTTTGTTTTTATTTCGGATTTCTGTCTCATTTTATCTCCAATCATTAAACAAGCAAGTTATAACAAGCGGCACAATAAACAATGAACACGTCTACAAGTCTTGATTCTTTTCCTATGTAGTTGCTGATGACGATAATGACAATTTTATGAGTTTTATTTTTATCAAAGTAATAAATACTTAGTTCATAAGGGGTCATGCAGTTCTAGTAAGAGTTTCTACTGAAAAACAGTGGTTTCTTATCCCACTTCTGTGCTCATCCCAACAGCAATTCTCTTAAGGAGATTAAAAGTCTTAAATTGGTTTCTTCTGATATCTGTCTGTATGTTTATAAATATATGCTTCTGATGCTATTTCTTTATTTTTCAATTTCAGTATTATCCACTTACTTCTCATGAGGGAAGATAGGCTCTCAGTTCTCTTGACCCAAGTGTTTTTACTTTAATGAGAAGATGAGGTCTTTCTGATGGTGTTCATATTTAATCCTCTGGGACCGCCATTCCCGTTGTTCATCTCATTAAAATGGAGAAAAGGTTCATGAAAAATAACAACATAAAACCTTTACATCGTTGCATGAAAAGTGACCTTCAGAGTTACGTAGTTCAAGTTCTAACAAATTTAGGAAACTCTTTTATATATTCTCCAAATCCATCATCCAAATTCCGAGTAGAGAGCTCCGACCTTTGCTAGATTGCTAGAGATGCCGGCAATGAAACTGTTCTTCTTGATACCGAATCAGATATTCAATCTACTTCGCTCTAAATTTCATACGCAGACCCTAGACCCACCTTCCGCAGCA